TTGCGTTTCCCGAATTGTTCCCGAATTCTATGATTGATCTTTGGCTGTTACGCCGGCTGCTTTATTGAAGGATGGATCAAGAAGTTCGCAAATGTCGATTCATATATCGGAACCAGCCGAGCCGATCTCGACTTGCAACCCATGACCCCGCCGACACGATGCGGAATCTCACTTTTTTTTCAGGAGATCCAACCAAAGGTCAGGTGAGATGGGCGGAGATGTGACATGTGTATGTCAATCATGCCCATGGCACGCAACTATACACATGAAATCAAATATACTGTGGCCTGATCCAGCCACAACTCATGGACCATGCCATGGACCGAGCCTCTTGATCAAGCAGACCCCACAAGGATTTCCTGGCTTGTTTATCGAACATATTTGCGATCGGTCAAATTCGAGAAAAAAAGAACGTACCAAGCCGGCAAGGAACTCGTGAAACTGTGGAATGGCAGCCTGTACAAAACGGTGAAAACGGAGAAGGCCCGCATAGGTTGCGACGTCTCCAGCAATGGAAAACCCCAACTGCGTTGGCACTGGAAACGAAGCCACCGTGACGAGCGGCAAAAAGAAATAGAGCCCGCTTGCAACACAAAGCCCCCCGGGCCATTTCAGCATGCACCCAAGCTCACTCGATGCTGCCTCTCCTGCGCAGCTGCTGTTGGGACAAACGCGATTTGCTTCGAGCCGCTTCGACCCTTTTGATTGGAAAACATGGTGGACAACGCGCTTGTCCATGCAGAGTTGTTTGATCGCCCGGCGGCTACATCGTCGGCGAACGACCGTGTTGGGACCTACTCACTTCAAGGGCTTCACATTCAGTGGGACAAGTTGAAAGCTGTCAGAGATCGACTTCGGATGAACAGTCGCCTGATCATGCATTGGGATCCTGAGACTGAAAAGTTGACCAACATTTATCCCGAGAAAACGTTGCAAAACGTGAGGAAGAATCGGGAACAGCTCCGTCCTTTGCTCCATCTCATGAAGGAGAACAAGCTGTTTCTGCCTGGCATCGACGGCTTGATTGAAGAGGTCAGGGCACTTTATCGATTTGCAAAATGCGCTTGTTCCTACGATACATTGTACTGGGAGGCATGGGCTTGCCGCCGCCTCCTAAGTCTCGCGAAGAACACATTGTTGTATCGCAAATTTCTTTCGGAGGACTGGTGTCATGATATTGAAACCTTCTGAGTTTTGATGTTCTGTGCATGCTTACCGTCAGTATCATGATACACCCATGCTTGCACAACATGTTTAATAACATGTTTTCTTGGTGAACAAGATTGAAAGAGTGAGACATTCTATTAAATTGAAGGTATAATAGGAAAACGTTCAGCATGGAAAGGCATGCAAGGGTACATAGGTTGTATAGAGGATCGATGTATGATGATGCATGTGCTGAAATGTTTCATGCGCAGGAGGACCATGAGTTGTTGGAGGTTGCCCATGATCTGGGGGTTGAGGTGAACATCAGGCGAAAGGAGAGTCCAACGTCGCTGGGTCAGGCATACCCCATCATGGCCAACCCGGAGAGTGTTGAGACTGAGATGTCACATCCAACTCCATCACCTCCTCCTCCGCCACCTTCAACTCCTGCTGAGCCTGCTGAGTCTCAAGGCTCTTTCCCAGCAAGCATCTTCAGTGCCAGTGTTTGGGGCTGCGGACGGAGAAGCTCCCAAGCCCAACGCTGCTGACACAAGTGATGGAGTCCGACGCCAACTCCAGTTAGAGGATCTCGCGGCTTGCCGTTTCAGACCATTTGCCAATCAGCCAGTCATCACACGAGTGCTGTTTCAGCGTTCCCTTCGTCAGACCACACTGGATGAATATTCTGGATGGGGTCTGCTGCCTGCTAAGGATGCGAAGGCTGCCAACGGCATTGAGGCGGAACACCCCAACCCCGAGCTTAAGCCTGCGTCTGATGGAGAAGTGCCGCAGCCGGCGCACACACCACTGGACCCACAGGAGCCCATATAGTGAAAAATATACAACTGCATATGGTGAAACCTGTATCGCAACATGTCTTACAAAATTTGGAGGCTATATATATTTATAGATGTTTAATCTTATATAACTTGATGTGCTTTTACATTCATTCATGATCCTTCATGCAAATACTTGCATGTTACAAAGGTTTCATGCACTTACGCTGTAGAAGCCGTTGGCTTGTCTATTTGTTTGGCGCAGGAAGTCGCCAGCAGTCAGATGATTACCATCCTCGACTCTGACAACGAAGGTTGCCATGAAGGTGGTGGTGATGGTGCACATGAGGAGCCGAACGCTTTGACGGAGGAGCTCTTGATGGTTTTGGAAGAGATCGAGAAACTGGAGCTATCTAGCCAAATCGAGTGATAGATTTTCAACCCTTCCTGTGTTTATTTTGTGTTCTGGGCGGTCCACGCACTATATATACCCCGGGCTCCAAATGAGTATATATAAAATCCTTGAGGATCCTTGAGGTGTCAACGCATGACATACAGATCACAGTTCTTTTTTCCCATGCATGCCAAAAAAACCTTTGCCAACACGCGCGGCGCTCGCCCAGGTTGAGCCAGGCCTCAACTGCAAAGCCAGATGAACCGCCGTCCGAGATGGCCAAAGAGCTTCCTGCACCAGAAGAACGTGTTTCGGCCAATGGAGTTGTGTAATTGTCAAACATGTTGTTCTTGCATGCATGTGGTATATACTCCATGACCATCTGACACATCGCCGTTCCAAGTTGTTTTCCTGTGCGTTGCGGAGGAGGTATGTTGATCGATCGGCGTGCAAACTCGGCGCGGTGGCATCTGTTGTGTGGGGCCCAGGTTCTCCGCCAACCGTGTTGCACGACTCGCTCCCACACATTGCGGACAATGCCGAGACCCAAATGCTGGTTTCACCAAGTGACTTTGACAAGACCGCTGCCAACAAAGGGATGCTGAAGGCAGAGGATGAGAATTACAAAGCTGCGCTTGAGGGTGGTCAGGAGCAGTGCAGTTTGTCAGTTCACATCTTTGGGGGGGTTGAGATTCTAGAAAGGGCATACTGCTGTTTTGTCACTGTCAGCGAGTGCATGGAGGTAGATCCATCATCTCACGCGTGCGTCCAAATATAGTATTCGATGTATTTGTGCATATGCGGGCCTATATATTGGCAAGGCCAATTATAAGAAGTCTCAATTATGTAAATATAACAAAAACGTGCAGTATAGAGGCTTGTTTTGTTTGCGATAGTGTGGCACTGCTTCTGAGCAACCGCGTGCCAAGGCACAAACCATCCAGCCGTGGCACCATGCGAGCAAAACATGCTAGCAAAACATGTAAGAGCAGTGCAACAAACTTTTGAACATGCAGACCAAAGTGGATCTAAAGCGGGATTCTTTTGATACTTTTCTTTTTCAACACAAACTGCACAAACTATATACCCATGGCATGCTATGTGAGCAAACAGCTTTGCCCAAGCAATGTGCATGCACTTTCTATAGCTCATGTTTCCAATCCTTCAAACTGGGATCACGAATGTACCAATCTCAGTTGCCGCAACCCTGAAGGATGCTCGCTACCCAGAGGTACCGTCCTTTCCACCAGTGACACGCCGCAAGCAATTTGGAATGAAGGATGAAAACCTAGAGGCGAAGGCAGAAAAGAAGAAAGACCGCAAGAGAAAGAGAGGTGAAGGTGAGAAGGGCAAAGCCGACAAGGTTGACAAGAAACGTCGATCCAAAGCAGCGGCCAAACGTCGAGCCAATCGAAAGACAGGCCAGAAGAAGGGGAAAGCACTCAGTAGGAGTCCATCGAAGCAATGGTTGGGGGTTCTTCGCAGTGGCAAAAAGGCCAAGTCCTCATCGAAGACTCCAACTGAGCCTGAGGCTAGTGTGGAGCGCACTGAACGCCCATCATCGTCAGAGGGGCCACCCAGATATTCAAAGACCAAGCCAAGCAAATCATCGAAGTCCAAAGCAGCAGCTCCAGTGGAGCCACCGGCAGAGAGTCCAGAGTTGAAAGAGAAGAAGAACACAAAGAAAGTGAAGAAGAACACAAAGACGACGGCAGAGAGAGCAAGAAGAAGGCAGAGAGCAAGAAGACGCCGCCAAAGGGCCGCAAGAACAAAGCTTCCCAACCTCAGCAAGATGAGTACTTTGACCATTATGTTGAGTGTGTCAACAAGGTGATGGATGAGTGTGAGTCAACAGACTGCGTTCACCCCGGCGCCATTGAGGGGAAGGTACCGGCAGATTTCCAAATTTCATGCTACTGGACCAGGCATGCTGTGGGGGCCAAGGTGAGCAAAGATCGCCTGGAGACAGCTTCCACTTCAAAGAAGAATAAGAACGCAAGCAAAGCCAAGGGGAAGAAAACGTACAAGTCCAAGAACTACAGCCAAGAAGCTTGAAAGTCCTGAGGGTGCCACTACACTCCCTCGGGTTCCCACAAACGTGGGAAGATCGATTTGGTGATTGGCTTTGCAACCCTCTCTCAGGGATCAAGATCTGCACGAAGAGCTTTGCGGCTAGTTGTAAAATGAAAACAGCCCTTTTGAAGCATCAAGCCATTGACCTAGCGTCAACAAGTGGTCGTTGACCTTTGACCCGCACTCACGTCGCTTGTGTGTCACAATGTGATTATGAGGGGCAGCTTCCGACAGTGATTCTCTGCAGCTCTCCGCACCGTGAGATGCTCTCAGAGGTCGGTATTCTTGGAACCACCCATCATGCCGGCCAGGCCCTTGAGGGGGCTACCTGAAGGGAGATCGATGATGCTCAGCACAGAATGAGCTGGTAGGCAACCAAAACAACAGGTCTGTAATGCTGGGATCTTGACAATGGACTCAATTGGCACGATTCTGATTTAATCTAGGAAGATCTAGGAAGAACAATGTACGAGTACAGCGCCAGCCAAGAATTGGGCACGAATGGCTAGCACTAGCACACCTACCCAAACATGTTTAAAAGCACTGGAGCCCGTTTTGTTCCCAAAAGCACAAACTTCTTTCTGGACACTTGGCGCAAAACTTCAGCTTCCAGAATACCTGCATTCAAACAAAAACACGCGCTCGCTCAGATACCCTCCGACTTGATTCTGTTGCACTCAAGGCGCGAAGTTGGGCAAAGTAGGCCTTTGCTTCTGCTCCTTGGTCAGAGGTCACTGTGATTCTCTAGGAAAGCCTTCCACAACTTTGTTGCACGACAGTCCCAATCCGCTTTGGCCTTAATTTTTCAGATGCTCTTCTTAGTCCTTACAAAAGCACTTGTCACATGTGGTCCAATGTGACCACTTGGTGGATGGGTTATGTTCGTTGAACACCTTCTGAGTAATTGGTCGCCGCCAAATCTGTCCCCTTGCAAGAATCTGGTCACTTGGCCATCCCCATCTGCGTCCATGTTGTTGAACATCTCCTCAAAACTAGCCCAGTCGTGGAACGTGAAACGTGCATGTTTGGCCACAAGTTTGTCCGAATCTGTCTGCTGCGATCATCATCAAATGTTGCCAGCCACCAAAGCTTGATACATTAATGAAAAATACTGTATAGTCCTCAGGTCTGTATCTTTGGCTCATTGTATAAGTCGGCAACATGTCTTGTCCCTTTAAAAGGATGTAAGACTGGTCCATGAAACACTGCAAATTGAATATATACAAGAAACCAGCATGGCTGCGGGTAGCATACATGAATTTTGGCCAGAGTCATCCTGTGTCAAAAG